TCGACTGCCCGGCGTCCATTTACCGAAATTTCGGATTCTGATTTGGGCGGATTTGTCGCTCACATTTCGATCAAACACCCTTTAGCTGGGAGTGCCATCGTCATGGGGCATCTGGAGGCCATCGGAATCCATCTGCCGTCGGAAAGAGTGCAGGATAGTCTGTGGCGTGTTGACGGGATCGGTGTGATTGTTCGGTACGCTCTCAATCGCCATTCCCACTCCCAAAATGACTCGCTCTCCAGATGGAATGGAATCATTAAGCGCCGAACGTATCGGGTGCGCGGGGATAACGCCCTGTGGCATGGCGATGGTAACGAGAAACTCCGGCCTTGGGGTTTTTACGTGCACGGCTGCGTAGACGGCTTTTCACGGCTATTCATCTACCTCAAATGCTCTAACAACAAGCGCTCTGCCACCGTGGAGGCCTGTTGGATGGCGGCTGTGGCAGAATTTGGGTGGCCTAGCAGAGGCCGGGGTGATTTTGGGAAGGAGAACAACGGGGTGGAGCGCAGGATAGTGGAGCGCTGGGGTGTCTCCCACGGGGCATATCTCCGCGGCAGGTGCGTGAATCATCATCTCATTGATGATCTGACGTTAGAACCAGATGCTAGATCGACTCAGAACATCCGCATGGAGCGCGGCTGGAGAGATGTGCGAAAGGATACACTCGAGCTGTATCGTCAAATCTTCGCGTATCTCGAGCAGTCCGGCCTTCTCGACATGGAGAGCGCGGTACATCGAGTCTGCCTCTATATTATCTTTCAACCTCGCATCCAGCACTCGTTGGACGAGACCCGATCGTCGTGGAATAATCACAAAATCCGCACAGCTGGGAATAAAACTCCGATCGCTCTGTACCAGCTCAGCAAAACTCGCGCTATCAATCGTGGCTACTGGACAGGCGACCCCGGCGACGATATTCGGACCGCCTCGGACCCTGCTTATGGAGAAGATCCAGGCGAGCGGCTTCCCCCAGCAGATGAATTAGCGAACGACCCAACATCTCCGGACTTCTCAGAGTTCCCCAATGTGGCCGCCGAACGCGACGCAGGGATCTTCGTCAATGAGGACGAGGAGATAAGAGAGGCCGAGGAAGCTCTGGGGGACCTGGGCATTATGGAGGACGATGGTAACTGGGGCATAGATATCTATTGTAGAGCGGTCCTCATTTTCACCGCTCATCTGGAGGAATCCGAAGATGAAAATTGATGCCGAATTTCTCAGAGCTTGGGAAATTTCCTAGGTTTGTTCATGATAGGCAAATGTGACAGTGAAGGCCACGAGATGCAACCGCGACATCGACTGGTTATAACCACAGTACACGAAGGATGCCACTGCATACCGGTCTGATGCAACCAGCTTGTCGGACTGATGCAACTGTTTCTGGGATATATGTGAGTGACCTGCCTTGTGAATGTATGGCACATATACTGTGCAAAAATTCATGGCAGGTACATCTCATTTGGTCGCAGGGTTTTCAGTTGCAACTGACATGTTGGGTGTCGAAAAGCTTACAACCTTGAGCGTGGGTTACATGTGTGGTGAGCAAGCTCGCAACCCAGTATGGGATGCTTTCATGTTCAATTGGATGCAGAAATGGAGTTGGTGGTAGAGAAATTTCTGAGGTTTGATGGGAGTGATTTGAAAATTGATGATCCTTCCTTGCCGAATTCCACAAATGGAAATTGGCGATCATTTATGATGATTTCACTCATCTCTGAGCACTAAAATGCCCCGGGGCATACTCTCAAGGTTCAAACACACACAGAATGGTATTCCACATACTGTAGACTGTGTTTCCGACTCCCCTGCAACTGTCCCGGTCGTATGACCTTCATAATGGGGTACAGATAAAAATTTGAACTAACACAAGCAATCTTCAGTTCTGTGGAGACGAGTGGCATCAAAACTAACCATATAGCATACCGGACGCTTGCCAGATGCATCCCGTCTCAATCCCGCTGTCCAATCCGATGTTCATCCTTCCGTGGGGCGGCGCCGAGGGGCCGGATTGATCCCGATCAAATCAGAAGATACTGATACCCCCGGCGGGGATGCGAGCCATGGGCAACATGCGACCGATTTGGGATGCAAGCTCACCGAAAGATGAGCGTGAGATGTAAGTTGCCTGCAAAAAACCTGTAAAATCTTGCTAATTTTTGCACAATATATCGCCCATATGAATGTATGTATGGCACATATACTGTAAAAAAAATTAAGTTGATTTCAGGTGGTTGGGATCACAGGTAAATGGAGTGCATGTTCATGAACGCACACCATTTTGGTTACAAGTTCCTTTGGGTAACATCTCAAGTTGGGTAACAATGCATTCCGGAGAACAAGCCCAAGACTGGGATCCATTTCTCAATCTCACCTCGCCTCGCAGTTGCCAACTACTCTCACAGCGGATAAAGTCCCGTCTTTTGGCGGTGATTCCTTTGAGATCTCCTGACGGTGGCTATTTGGCAATATCATGCCGTGGGTTTGAACGGCGGTGGGTTTGCCCTCTCTGCTTGTGGGTATGATAGATTCATAAACAAACTGCAGCTCGATACTTACTATTTGCCGTGTAACAAGTCACGTAGAGTCGGGTAAGTTCCAATTTACAACTTTCAAAGTTTCCATTGAGCCAAACAAAAGTGCGAAAGCATGGACAGATGATTGGTGAATAATCTATGTTCTAGGATGCTTCTACGGCACGGATCGGTGGGGATGTACGTACCGACGGCTGGTCTCCGGCCGACATTTTGCCTTGGAGAGTGGATCAGGCACGGGGAGAAACGTCGGCGCAGTGTACTCACCGAATACTCGTCCTGAGTGAACCCCTTGATTGCATGAGTTGGCTCAGAGTTGATGGACGAGATTGAAGGCTCTCCGGAACGGGTCCGAGGCCGGGGTGAGGAAGCGTAGATAGGCAGTGAGCGTGTGATGCGACAACGAGGGATGGAAGATATGCACGCACCGATGAATAGTACTTGTTTCCACGACTCCCAGAGAGGCACGACGGAAGTCGGACTCGGAAACTCAAAATGGCACTCCGGAGGGGATTCTCCGGGGTGAAGCGCCCGCAAGAGCCTTCGCAGTCGCATTTCCGATCCCGGCAGTGGGAATTCCGGCGGCACGTCGGACATTGGTATCTGAGAGGGTCGGTCAGGGCATTATAATTGAGTGCGGGTGGGAACTTACCTGGGATAGTAGATAGCCGGAGGACTTTTTGAGAAAGGTAGATAGATGGTGGTAGGAAGAAAGGATTGGGACAGATTTTCATTGTTTGGTCGACCTGCATAGTTCTGAGTCAGCCGATGATCCAGAATGTCAATGATATGTCAATCAAGTACGTGATGATCAATGATCCTACTGGAAAATTGAAATCAAGGTTCAGATGTAACCCACTGCGGTTGCGATCCCAATATGTTGTGATCCAGGCATGTTGCAATCCAGACAGGTTGCAACCCAGACAGATGTGGCAACCCAAAGAGATGCCACCGATGCGTCTGTTGCGCTCCGTGTCGCTCAAAAACCACAATAATTATTTTACAGTATATCGCCCATATGTATGGGCGATATACTGTGCAAAAATTAGCCACATTTTACAGGGTTTCTGCCGGCAACTTACATCTCATTTGCGATGTTGGCTCGCATCTTGGGTCAGCTTTCATCTCAAATTTGGTCGCATGTTGCTGATGGCTCGCATCTCCGCCAGGGGCGTCAGTGTTTTCTGATTTGATCAGGATCAATCCGGCCCCTCGGCGCGACTCACAGAAGTAGGAACATTTGGATTGGGCTGCCGGATGATGAGCGGATGTATCTGGCAAGCCTGCGGTATATTATCTGGTCAGTTTCGACCCCATCCGTCTCTACAGAACTGAGAAGAGTGCTTGGGTAGTTCAAATTTCCATTTCTACTCATTATGGAGGTAATACAACTGGTGGAGTCTGGAAGGGAGTCCGAAACACGACCCACAACATATGGAATACCATTCTGTGCGCGTCTGAACCTTGAAAGTATGCCCCGAGGGATTTTGGTGCTCAGACACGAATGAAATGATCACCGACTTCCATTTTTGGAACTCGGCAGGGTGTGTCCATCAATGTTCAAATCACTCACATCAAACCTCTAAAACTTCTCCATGACCAAGTCCAAAATTTGCCGTGAAGTCATCCTATGCTGAGTTGCAAGCGTGCACACAAGACATGTTGCCCCGCCACAAAGTTGCAACCTTTGTACATCCAAGATGTCAGTTGCAACCAAAAACCATGGAACCAAGTGAGATGTACCCACGATTAATTTTTGCACAGTATATGTGCCATATGAATGAGATGGACGTTCCGTGAGGATGTCACCATGCCACAGCAGAGATGCAACCATCTCGAGCCAGACATGCGAGCCAATCCTTGAGAGTTGTGAGCACGCACAAAATTTGTTGCGAACCACACAAAAAAGATGCAGTTGCACATGCAAAACACTGTTTCCAACGGGTTGCAGACCATTTTGGATTTTTGCACAGTATATGTGCCATAACTATAAACGACACGCTCCTTCACATGCACATGTATTTCACAAGACGCAGAGTAGATGGAAAAATGCAGACACGAGGCCCCTCACGTCTGGGAGTGGAATCGAACCACGAGTTGCACCCGGTCGTTTTTAACTGTTTCCCGGTGCTCCCAACTCACGAATGGATTGCATGTACTTGTGCTGGTTTGATATTTGTTCTCGGTGAGTACTTAATACCAGAGCATATACACTCGGAATCTCTTCAACGAGCTCGCAACAACTAAATCCAGTCAAGCACTCCTCAGCCTGGGCCGGTGACGCCGTTGATGGTATGTGTTGGATTTATTCCTTTCATTGATCGAACTTCCAAGTACTTGCGCTCAAGAACAAAACCAATGGTAACGAAAATTTCTAAAGCTTACTGACTCTGACGGACGTCGCCGTGTCCATAAACGGAAGATGCGACTGGGATGGTAATTATTCTCAGTCCACACTACGCCATAGCATTAATGGGGTAGTGGTAACCTGGGTCGTTGCCATGTGGCGTCGTATACAGATGTCGACCCGCCGGGGGTTCGATTCCCCCTTAATGCATTCGTTGTTTCTCGCACATTTTTTTTTTTATTCCACAACGACGAACTCGCCACAGAAACCCAGATCATCCTGATTCACAGGGAAGCGGTCACGCAGTCAGGTCATGAGATTTGAGAAATCGTGGAAGCTCCGTGAAACGAAGCGCAAGGCGCGAAGCAAGGGAAGGGCGGCACGAGATTAACTTGCTGTAATACCGCGAAGGTGTGGTCCGTGTGGGACTAGGTTCGATGGCGGCCGCCATCCAAGTACGTCCCAAATACCGATGAAAGTTGTGACGAAACCTGGAGAAAGACATACGAGTAGGATGAGTAGATCGCGTCTGGCGGCAAGTTAAGTTCACTTTCGCAGTGAATATCCGAGAGCCTTTGGCCCATCCCGATTCGCTACGCAGCTTGCTAGATCAAAATCAAGTCCCAGTGGGGCCGAAGTCTCTTGTCTTGCCAAGCGGTTCGATGGTGTAGTTGGTTTATCACTGCTTTTCTCTCTCAAAGGTAACAGCAGGATTTTGACCACGCAAACCCACACGCTGCTTCGGTAAGAAGCCTTCGCGCCTGGGACTAATCGCATCACCGAACTCAAATTGTGAGTGTTCCACCGCCTCGGAAGATCCGCCCGAGCTTGACTACAGCAGGTTCGCCCATTCGCTCGCCTATCTCCCGGGGTTTCAGCCATTTGCGATACCGATACCGTGAGACCCGTCGGCTGAAAATCCCTAATCCGAATGCTTGAATTTGGAATCGCCTTGAGTTTCTTGTGAGTTTCCGATAGAGCTGGAGAGCAGCCAGGTATAATCTGCCTCGATCTCACTGCACCGGTCCAGGGATCCGTTCTGCGACAGCCCGTTGTATTTCCAGCGGTGGAAACCCGGGCTTCGACAAGCAATCGCGGGAAGAATCGAGCGACGAGAATCGAGATGACAGCTGATACGGATACTGCATGGTTACCACGTGGGCCGAAAGCCCGAAAGTCACACCCAGTCAACGACCCAGGAGATTTCGAGATCCGTTCCAGTACAGGATCGAACGGAAGGAATTCGAAGATGACGGTGGGAGTCAGGAGCTCTGTGCTGACTCAGCGTTGATGGCCAGAACAGCTCCCAAGCTCGACCACCATGAAACGCTTCTTGTTCTTGAGTACGAAAATCATGCTTTGGTCTCGTCCCCACATGGCTCCTCTAGGCTCCAGCTGTTGGCAATTCTTTTCTTGCGGACAATGGCGGATGAATGTCAAGACCGCGGATCAACTAAAATCCGGTGTCTTTGACTTGTTCCTGACGACCATGTCCTCCATGACCGCCTCCGTGCATCCTTGGCTGCAAGCACGTAACATCTCGGTGTTACGGCCCTTCCTTCGTGTGAGCTCCATCTGCTTGGTCTCCGTCTGCTCAGCCCTCTTCCAAAGACGACCGCATCGCGAGCGATGGGCGGCTCCACAAGACACATCGCTATACTCTGCGGCATGCTACCGAGACTAACAGACGACGAGGTAGCCTCCCTCCTCCCCCCGGTCATCTACGCAAACCTTGATATTGCACGCATGCCTTCGCTCGAGGTCCTGGACGGGCTCACAAACATGTCGGCGCAGCTGCCCTGCATCCAAAATCTGGTACCGATTTTCGAATGGCTGAAAATGATCATGGCTGGACATCTATTCGACCGCTTGTACGGCGCTGCACCCGATCTGTGGGCACGCTTCTGGCCCTGGGTTGACTTCATCTTGTCGCACGAAGACAGAGTCGTCGGATACTCTCCTGAGGACGATCTGCTGTTCCACCAGTCGATATCGCAGACGGCCTTGGCACTCTTTAGCAACCCTATAACCAGATATCTCGTGGCCGAGACAACCGGTCTTCGTCGCGCAATGGTCATCTCGTGGATCAAGATCATGCGGCTTTCAAAGTCCGACGAGAAGAGCAGGATGCGGGACGTGGCGCCGCCCATCCTCGTTCTATCCGATCTCGAGAACAGGCAGCATCTCGCCGAAATCATTGATGGATGCGGGGGTGATCTCAGTGTCTTATCTCGCATCGTCACAGAGACTATCTCCCTGGCCTCGAAGCACCCCAACGAGCAGTTGACCGGGGGCTTGATCACACCTTGCGTCCTTTTGCTGCAACATATCTCGATGAAGTGGCCCGAGACCCTCGCGGGCATGATGTCATCGAAACTTGCCTCTGCGCTCGTCTCGGCCCTCGGCATACAAGTTACGCCGCCGGGAGAACGACCGCTGGGAATCCAGCTGTGTCTGTTCGCGCTCATGCAGGTTTTGCACATGCCTCAGGCGCACAGCTGGATGATACCTGTCCTCCGCAAGGGTCTCCTCACACAGATCGTATTCTGGGGCGAGAAACTGGGTGGGAGAGCAGAAGCTGATACGGTGGGCAAGTTCAACCAACTGCTGCGGATCCTGCTTGCAGAGACGTTGGTCCACCCGTCCATCGTCGTGGAGATGAAGCGGTGCTTTGATGCACTGGAGGAGCGGGCGTCGCGGCCTCCGTTCGCGGGGTGTGTGCTCTATCCGATGTGGGCAGCGCTGAGGGATTTGGTCAATGAGCGTTCGGCGGTCGTTGAAGCTTTGAAGGAACCGCGGATACGCTCCGCGTTGGTGTGTCATAACGTTTAGGTGCGTGTTTTAAAACGCGGATTTCATCCTCTCATTCCACACAGTGCGCTAAAATCGCCGAGCGTGACTCGTTTCGTCGATGTGGGGGATGTCATACAGCCGTCTATTGCTCGGAGGCCTGCCAGCGCACAGACTGGGTCGCAGTTGACGGCCACCGGGCGGAATGCGAGCAAATGTTGGAGGTCTATCAAGGTTCGCTCCATTTTTCTTACACTTCGGTGTTTGACTTCAAAATAGGACTCGCCTTAATCGGCATTCACCACCGTGACAAATCCTTCATCCGTACCCTCCTCGACATGGACTGTCGCCGACACCGCCTGCGCATCTGCGTCGAGCTAGTACAATTCATGGCTCAACACCCACAGGTGCCCTGTCTCGTCGCGTTCAACTACCAAAACGTCACGGGGGTCAAGATCTTCGTCTTGCCCATACAGACGTCGTTACCACCCGAGATGGCGAAACCCCTGTTGTTGAGGATGAATAGGGAACTGCGGCAAGGGTTCGTGTCGATGCCGTTGCATGTGCTGTGTGTGAGGCATGGGAAAAACCAAGGGTTTGCGCCGTTTCCGGTGCATAGGTTTAGTACCCCGTTGTTTACAGGCTTGGTTGATATTGCGAAGGCTTTGGGTAGTGGTAGGATTCCGCGGGAGCAGGTGGAACCGATGGTGAAGAATTGCATTGAGGCGGTGGGCGACAGTGCCGAGTTTCATTGAGGACCGGGAAGATTGTACTGTATTCAACGTAGTGTGTACAATGTAGGCTCAAACAAAGGTCACAGTGGAAAATACCGGACGTCGAGGGGGCCGAAGGCAGGAGCGCCTCAACTTGTTGTTCAACTAGATTTCCGGGTTCAGGCACGGTGAGTATGGGATTCAACACAACAATTAGATTTGATAATTTACTGGAATGTAACAGGAACCATAAAAAGGAATGAAAGAGACTACATTTTTCACTGCGACTCCACCTCAAAGACTGGTGATGGTGACCGGGACACCCTGAGCGGGGCGAGGCGGGGCACCTCCGTCTCCGATCATGATCTGCACACCCTCGCTCCAGACACCATCGGCGACGACGTAGATCCAACCGGGCCCTGGTGCATAAATGTTGCCGTTGGGAGGCGCGGTGATGGTGAGGGTGCTGCCGGAAAGACTGTGCTCGAGGAAGACGAGGCGCTGGCCAGCGTGCCATCCGTGAGTGACGAAGCCCATGTCCATCAGCGAGACTGTTCAAAATTGTAAGTACATCGTGCGTGAAAAAGAAGATGGATAGAGCGTACCCTGGAGCTCGCCGGCGGCAAGGCTGGCAGGGATAGTGACCGTGAGCGTACCGTTGGCGTTGAATGCGAGCTGGGAAGGAGACTTCGAGATGACGGGGCGGGGCGAGTTGTTGGTGATGAAGTCAGGGTTGAAGTACTCGACGCGGTATTCCGAGGGGAAGGACAGGTTGTTAGGGTTGTTGTCAGCATCGAGGACGAAGGGGTGGGGGTTGGAGGCCGCAACCATGATGTTTCTGAGCAATGTTAATGACCAGCGGTTGTGAAAGTGTTGGAACTTACCCTTTGGCCGTGAGCGTCGCAGCCGAGTGGTACATACGCGGGATGGGGCTCGTAGGGATGCCGACCTGGGTGATTCTTCGTCCAATATGTGAGATACGTTGTATGAAACATTTGAAATGAATACCTTTGGCCCAATGGCAACGTCGACTTGTACATGATGCCTTGCGTCGCAGGGTTGGCCGCGTTGGTGCCGGTGGCTCCTGAATCGCCGACGGAAGGGTATCCTGAGTAACTGATCCAGAATCAATATCAGCCTGAAAGGAACTTGAACAATGCAACTTACCCAGTATGTGCGCCGTTGACGATGTAGATATCACCGCTGGGCAACATGACAGTCTCAGCCATGACACGCGGGTCCGGAAGATGGTCGATCTCCCATCCGGCAGCGACACCCGCGGCAGTCAGCGTGATACGCTGGCACTGAGTGGTAGCGACATCGTTGACGGACATCTCCTCCAAGGTGATGGTGTCGGGCTTGTTGGATCCACCGCAAGCGATAACGGCGGGCTCGTAGAGCGGGGGAGAGAGTGGGAGCAACTGGGCGAAACCGTCGAAGGGAACACCGATGCGGACGCCGTTGGGAAGCTCGGGAAGGCGCAGGAGTTCGGTGTCGGTCTCGATGTCGTAGATGACAGATTGGTTGTTGGCAATAATGAGGACGTTGCCGGAAGGAAGGACCATTCCACTGAATCACAAGTTAGTAAATCAATGACTCAAAGAAGAGGAAGAAAATACCGAGGGAAGAGGTTAGCTGGGAGGGTGTCTTCCAAGAACTTACTCGGGCGCACTGTGCCCTCCTCGCCCTTGCGCGGGGGGAAGAACT